ACGTCGACAAACCGCCGACGAAGACTCAAGTAGACCATCTCGCGACGCCGCTTGGATGCTTCCAGGATGCGCCGGTAGTTGAACTTTTCCCAAAATGTCGTCGGGGGCTCGGTCGCGAGGCAGAAATCCGAGACGACCACCGGGAGGTACGGGGAACGGCGTTCAAACTCGCGCCACTCGTTCTGCACTCCCGTGCCGAGCTTGAGCAAGACGCTACGATCTCCATGAGGTTAAAATGTCGCACATAGTCGTCCACATACATGCAGAGGAGGAGGAAGATGACCACGAAGAGAAAGAGCGCCATATGAAGCATCTCGACGGTCTCCTGAAGCTCTTCCTTCTTGCCTTCGCCAAAGAGTAATACAGACGCCTGCACCATGTTTGTCACCACCGCGTTGACCTGCTCGGTACCTTTTCAAGATACCCCGACTTGGAGACAACGAAGAGCACCGAGCCAATAAAGCCCAGCGTCGTAAGTTCGCTAAAGATGGTGCTGATGAACGGCATGTTGGTCTCTTCCGTCGACTCCTTGAGGTGCTCGGAAGCCTACAGACGCGGCTCAGCTATCGGGTAGACGCAGGAAGCGCGTCGTACGGTCTCGAAGACAATGGACATGAAGATGAGCGCGGTGATCGTGACCACCGAGGCGACGGCCGTGTAGTAGGCCTCGGCTGCCTCGTCCTCGTGGCTGGCCTCTGTCGCCTCATGCGAGCCCTTGGTTCCCTTGGCTTCCTTGGACTCTATCGAGAGCGCTCGTCAAGCGCTCCATGGGCATGGCGTCTACCTTCTTGGGCGAGGATGCGCTGGAGGAGGAGCGCGCAGGCCAGCATCATGTAGGTCGAGAACCACCGCAGCTGTCCTCGGCGCGCCATGCTGCCACTCGTTCGATCGATTGCACTTTGCCGTTTGAAGATCGGTGGGTTGTGCTGTTTTCGAATTTTTATTCGATCTTGGTTTTTGGATGCAACAAAACAATAAAATTTTAACCAATCACAGCGCGGCAAGTGCGATCTTGTGCTGGTGGACGTCCACAAGATTTCCAAGTGATAATGAATCTCAACATATCGCACGTACTCTAGCTAGTAGATAGTTATTTCGCCAATAGCCACCGTAATTAATGTCTAGGGTGCCTAATGCTATAGCTGCTCACGGCGGGCGCTTGAGAGCTCTATGGACACACAGAGCATTCATTACTCCGCGACTATCGATCGATCAATACCGGCGACCGCTTTGTTTTAGACCGTTGTCATATTTGCTACATTACCCGACCAGTTGCAGATGCAAGGTAGCGCTACCACATCGTCCAACGCAGCGCACGAGCATCCTGGTACAAATGTCGTGAGCCCAAAAGCGTGGATGTCACGTCAAATTGCATGCGGTGGGTCCTGCACGGGCGTCGTTGCCGCCGCCGGACTTATCTCGGGCAACAAAGGGTCGCTTGTCGCACAGTACCGCCTTGCGCCGCTCCACATGATGCCGCGCCAGGCGCTCAGCTCATTTTTCTGCTTCCCACACGGACAGGACGTTCTGTGGGCTGCGTTGACTGCCAACGCGTACCAGCTCATTGTGCCAGAAGGCGGCGCTCTTCTCGTCGTCACCTTCGTGGTGCGTTGTGGTCACGTTGACGCAGCCCAAGAAATTATTGCCGAAATTGAGCCGTGCTTTGACGTGCTGCGGTTCTTCCCCAACCTAAAAAATCAAACACAAATGGCGACGACGACCTCGCCGTGTCATCGTTGGCCCAGTGATGATACTACGCGTAGATCTGATTGTCGAGCGCCTATATCAAGCCCACGTGACGTGTTGCCGCCTCCGGTCAGCGCCACTGCGCGACGCGAGCGTCCAAGTGCCAGCGTCCGAACTGCCTTGGTGACCGCCGTGCTTCCGTTCTTGTCGCCGCCTTTTCAACCGTAATGGTTGTCTTTGCATTATGCAATACTAGTACTACAATTATCATCCACCACAATCTTTACTACGGGGATAGCTGCCGTGTACAAGTATTGAGCAAGGGTTGTCCAAGGACTAGACTGGCAACAAAATAATGCTTGATGTCTGTTCTCGCACAAGCAATTTTACTAAAAAACGCAACAGTTTGACGCTTATGGAAATACCACAACTAGTACCCAACAACGCTTCACGACGTCACGGTCCCTTTGGGCGTGACCTTGCCTACTACGCTCTGCGGCTACCTCTACTCGACGCCCAAGACGGCGTCCAACATGCACCAAGCCGCGTTCCGATGCCTCTGGCCCGTGCTCCGCGCCTGCGTCTGGTTCAACGTCTGGCGAGTCCGGAACGATCGCGTCTTTCGCACCGACCTACCGCTGCCAAGTCCATGGACGATTGCCGTCAAGGCGGCATGCGTCGCTCAACTGCACTTGCACCACAGCCTCGTCCAAGAGCCCGAGCAACCTGCTCTTCGTCGACTTCTCCGGCTCCTCGCCCAACACGAGTGGCCGCGACGTCATCTCGTCCCGCGGATCGTGCTCCTGCCTCCGCCTGCCTAAATCAAGTCCCTCAACCGAGTACACACAACGAAGAAAGTCCGACATTCTTATTTGGCATAGTTTATATCTTTAGTAATAGAAGACCCACTTCAACAACAACTAGTACCCAACAATGTGCCACTTCGTTCAATATCAAATTTTACATTACTGTGCACGACAGACTCTATTTGGTGGTACTGCGTTTGACCGCTCTAATAGCGTCGAGGTGCTTTTCCCACTGCTCGCGCTCGTGGTCGGCCCGTTTTTGGCTCACGGCGTGGCCGCAGCCGTACCAAGCGTGCGCGGTGACGCCGAGCATGATGAAGATCGACGCAAGGTCCCGAACGATCTCAGCGACAGACACGGCATTGCTCAAGAGGCAGATAAACGTGAAGCTCTGCGTGTGGCGGCAGTAGCGGTCCGAGTGGTAAAAGTATGTGCGCCACAGCCGCTTGATGTGCTGCTTGGCGAGTCGCTTGGCGTGCGGGGCGTTGATATCGCCGCAGTCAACCGGTAGCGCTGGCTGCATCTTGGCAATAAAGTACGGGGCCACAACAATGAGGAAGAGGCTGCTGCCGAGCACGATGATGGCCACAAGTCCGGTCCAGGTCGACATGTGAGCTTGTTGTGAAATGGCATCGCTGTGGATTGTCAGTGCTCTGCCGCAACCTCTCACAACGTATATTCAGCGGCATTCGTATGCAGACGACAACTCATCCTTTGCTGGTTGTTCAGACGGGTGCATTTGACGTTTAACCCTATTTAAATGAACTCTTTCATCGAACTTCTAGTTATTTGTTGTCTAAAGTATCCTCTTGGCAGTCGAGTCGATTCTGCACGACGGTTCGTAATTTGACATTCCGCTGCATGTGGCATCGAGACGATTTGATGCCGTTCGGTTGGTGCGACACGGAACCTCTCACAACGCATATGT